TTGCTTCCGCTGGCAAGTTTATGTAATAGTCGTTACTCAGAAAACGATATAAAGATTAGAAGTGTCGTCGGTGACGTTAGAATTGTTACTGTTATTGAAGATGTATTTTAATCCCAGATTTTTTTGTTAGACTCGAATGGAACTGTCGTCGTCTTAGTTTGAAATAAATATACAAAACTTGGCATTTATGTACAATCCATTTCTTACAACTTGAACTTTAACAAAGGTCTTATGAACACGTCAAAAAGGGTACACTTAGTCAAAGAAAGAAAATCCCAAAACGAAGTCAACCCTAAAAAACATGAGTAACACAAGTGTACAGGAAATGTAACAAAACGTTAATCGTAAATAAAATATCGATGTAGCTCCCATACATCATGATACGAACAATGGTCCCTTCAATTCAGGAGTGGCGCCCCCTGCTTTAAGCCCACGTGAGTGCATGTTTTGTTCTGGCATAGACCCTTTTTTATCAGGACGTCCCTTTTCTTGTCAAGTTCCCTTTCAGTCCCGAAACCGCACCCTTTGAGGGTTTAGGTAAAAGCCGTATAAGTGGCTGTAGCGTCACTAATATGAAAATTAGGTGGAACTTGTGTTACTCGGTCAGTTGGAGCGTTATGGGATCGCGACTTGTTTGAAAGTGGTTTCTCTGTGAAAATGTTTTAGTTTTCTTTGTGAATTTGTCGGTCAAGGGTTTAGTCTGGACGCTTTTGTGGCGGTAATGCGTCGGCGTAAAGGAAAGTATACGTATTAGTACGAAAATATATTGCATTTTAGCCTTAGATAGTTGTTCTTGAATTTTTATGGAATTTAACTTCTCATCAAAGATTCTAACTACTACTAGAGTTTATTCTACTTGGTGGTGATTTGATGTTCATTTAACAAAACAATTTGCTCCAATTAGTAACTAGCTTTCTCTTTTTCTTTTCGTATAAAATGATAAAAAAAACAAAACTTACAGTTTACTGAATAGATATGCTTACTGTATATCAACAGCACAGTAAGTATATTTTCGAAAAAAAGTGACGGTCACATATTTTTGCCATTTGGCTATGAAACCCTAAAACAACGATCCTCCTTTTGTGAATTCTCCTTTATCTAATGAACCAAAAAGAAACTAGAGCAATTGTCGAAGGAATAATATAACATACAGCATCAGCACTTTCCTCGCTTTCTCATATAATATCTGCAAATCCTCTTTGAGGATCACAGCCACTTGAGGGATCATTGTCAACTCAAAGGCAGTTATCTGGTTTATTGCCGGGCACCAAGCACCCCATAAAATTGGATGATACAGTTGACCTTTACAACTTGAAAAGGCATCTAAGGTTTATATTTATTGCTATCACTAAATAATGGGTTTCCTTAAATATCAAATTGCTTTGGTTTACTCTTAATATTAAATTTTCTTTGGCAACATAAAGTATTTAGGTGTTCTGTAGAAATATTGTGGCGTAAAAGTGCAATAAATTTTAAGTGGCTTTTGTTAATAATTGTTTTACAGTCTGTGTATACATAAACTTTTTATACTAATATTGGAGTCATGCCATACATTTCAACTAGAACTCTGGGTCAGACTTTTTCTGGCAATCGCCTGTTGTCCAACTTGTTAAAGAAAGAAAATGAAATAAAGTATTTCTGCTTCATGATCAGCAAAATCGGAGTGTGAACTACATTTAATAAAGTCGAAGAATCAGGAGCTTGGAGGAGTGCCAGGGCCGAGTAAACTGTTTAAATCCATGTAAATGAATAAGTGAATACTTTTCTCGGTCTAGCAAATAGGAATAATCAGATCTTAAATGTAATACGTAGTTTTAGTAAAATATTATTATTGGAGATTTCAATGAACATGCATGATGCCCCGAGTCTTATAAAAATTAGGATTCGGGTTGGGCAAAGTATTACAGAATTTACAAATATAAAACTTATAGTACACCAGAATAGAGTCTCATTTTGAACCCGATGGATGATTATTGTGAAGTTTCTTACTAAGTTAAAGTCAAAAGTCAATCAATATTATTTTAATTAGACCCTTACAGGCTCTTTTGAACGCCAAACAAAATGTATAAAGTGTCAGTCTACAAAAGAGATTTATGATGACTACCGAAAACCTTTTTTAAATTAGATATTAATCTCTCTTCTGCGAATTTATATGTATGTTATAATATATAAAGTAGTTTAACTAAACATCACCACATCACATTATATGTTAATAACAAAACTAGGTTAAACGTGGTCGTTAAATGCCACACAGGAGCTAACCACATGACGTTAAGATTGATGTTTCTGTGGTACACAAATACAGATTATACAATAATCCTCTACAGTGCTCTTTCAACGCCTCACTCAACGAGTACTAATCGTTGTTAAATCAAAATCTAAGGTATAGACGAAACTACAACTTTATTGTTATGCTACAAAGTCCACAATCAGAATGTTAGGAATAAGTCTATGAGCCGACGTCTGCATCTGTACAGATGCTTTTCGCCATGTAACAGTAGCTAAACATAATTCTAGACTCGCCAACTCTCAAACGTACACCACTAGCCAACTTCTTAATTAACTCTTAGCAAGACAGTTAATTGTATCGCTGGAAAATTCTTTCCAATTTACTGAGAAAATAGACGGGCTATTAAAAAATAAAAAAAAAAACAAGATTAAAGTTTGTTCGGTAGCCGTGAGCTGACTAGGCGACCGGTCTGGCCGGAGAAACTTTAGAAAATACATTTTTGATTGAAATAGTTCAGAATAAATAGTCCTAAATGATGATGAGAGAGCAATTTACTGGGCACTCATTCTAAAATAACCCCAAGTTTACTTTTATTAACTTCGCTAAGCTTGTGCCTACTTAATCAAACCGTTCCTTCAAACTTTATAATTTATAATGAGGACTTTTTAGGCAAGTTCGTCTTAAAGCTGATTGTAAACCTATCGCTGGCTAATCCACCCAAATTAATTAACAAAACCTGACCGCAACAAGAACAAATTAGAAAGACTTCCCAGGGGATTACATTTAAATCAATGTTACTTGGATCGGATGAAATTAATTCCATGTGATCCTGAGACCCTGTACCCTTTGGGACCTCTAATTGATATGGGCTACTTCATTTACATGACCTCAGAAAATTTGATTAAAGATCATTAAAGTAATGCCGTTTTCGTCGAATTCGGTTCATGAGAGTGAACCCACTTTCTTTATGAATTATTTATTCTTTGAAAATTCTAGGCTTACAACGTAATGGCCAGTTATTTTGGATCTGTTCTTTGTAATTGTGTTTTAAAAGGTTGAAGACTTTTGTGTTGTTTTAGTTGCCGTGCTCTTTACTTTAATATTTTATGGTTGATTACCAGTTACAGAAACAGTGCTTCTTTTTTAAATTTCTCGGGATAAGTTTTGATAAGAAAAAAAAAGTAATTTGGCGTGAGGTTTTTTTAAGCGATAGCCTTTTTTTAGAAATGCCCAACCATTTACAAAAGCTAACGCATTCATAATGTGGACGAATATTTAATAAACTATATGGGTGCAGATTGTAAGATCTGTCTAATTAAAAGTAAAGATTTGACTTCGACTAATCTTATTGGCTAAATTATTATAACAAAAGCGCACTATTAAACGGCAGACCGACTCGGCAAAAACCGATTGATGTTATAACCAGATTGAAATAAGATACAGTATTCCAAAACACAAAGAGACTTCAAACTGTAATTTGTGTGGTAATTTACACTGTCACTAAACTCGAAAATTCTAGATAGTTGCATCACGAATTTTCGTGTTAAGTGACAAAAAGTGTAAAGCCAGTTTTTACGAACTATTTTTGTTGCATACTATCGTGGTGGCTCTTTTTGTTTTTATTGGAACTAGTTTGTATGTACAGTGTAGGATTAATAATGGTTTTATTGGATCCATTTGAACATTTACACGATGCGGGCGATTCTGTCAGTTTACTGACGTATCAGTAAACGGCGGCTTGTTTAGTTTTAGGGACGACTGAACCTAGGTTCATCCTAGTCGAATGAGAATGTGGAAAAAATTTGAACCACTATTTTTTTAATCCTTTAAACGGGATATGTGAATAGGGAAAATAGTTTTTGACGAATGCCTCTTTGTTAGTCGAAAATGGGAATGTTAAACTTGCGACGCAAAGGTATAATTTTCTTTTAATACGTCTCTATCCATTTGAAAAACATGCTAAGTGTTTTTGAAGTTCTTTTAATATTAATCATGCGAGAACAATATTTTCAATATTGTAATAATATACTATATACTAGTGATTTATGTAGATCAATTTAGTTAGATTAAATTCCGCCGAGTTTCGCGTCTCGAAGTGCACCAGACTGATTTATTTTTATTATTTTATTTATTACCCATTATTATGTTTTGAATGACTATAAAATAAACAATTAAATGATTATTTTTATTGAATTAATAAAGCGCTTCAGACAGAATTATCAATAGAGCAACGTGAACAATATTCTATTTTACATCAGTTTAAGCTAATGGCCAATAGATGGCGTTACATATCGACTTTAGCACTTAATAGTTTCACGTCTTTTTTATTCTTGAGATTTGTTGTGTTTGAATGAATGATTACATGAATTATTAGGCTTTGTTGGCATACATAAGTGTGGGAGAGCCATGCTTCGGCACGAATGGGTCGGCTCGACCGGAGTTATACCACGGCCTCACAGAAAACCGGCGTGAAACAACCACAACGTTGTGTTTCGTCGAGTGAGTGAGGTTACCGGAGGCCCAATCCCTTCCCAATCCCTAAATCCCCAAAATCCCAATCCCTAAATGGTCGGCAACGCACTCGTAACTCCTTCTTTGTTGCGGGTGTCCATGATTGCTTACCATCAGGTAATCCGTCTGCGCGTTTGCCGTCGAATAAAATAAAAAAAAATTAAAACTATTATATTTTTCAGCTGTTCTATCTCTTGAACTAGGTACGTACTTACGACTATCCTTGTTTTCTTCTAGTTATTATGATAGAAGCACTTACCGTATAGAGTGAGCGAATGCCATGACAGCATCAGAGACGAACTGCAGCTGTCTCTCGAACTCCGTGTTGTTGACTGTGAGCCTCTCCATGCCGGAACAGGTCCTGGAGTACTGGCCGTTGTACGGAGTCTTCAGGCTGCCTGGGTAACGGCATTGAAAGTGGTCCTCCCAAAACTCTGTTCAAACAAGAAAATAGTTTCTTGGTATTAAATAAAAAACATGGCATTAAATAGGTACATCGTGATATTGGTCTCCCAAAGATCCGAAAGAGGTAAAAATAGATTATCAAAAACTCTTGGATGTCGACTTTACACTTTTTCAAGTTTTTTTTTTAAGATTTTTTTTTTTATTTTCTCTACATACATCATCCTTTCTGGACTTCCTCGAATAATTCCAAAGACCAAAATCAGCTAAATCGGCTTATATTAGCAAAATTGTTGAGTTATAACATTATAATGGAAAGTGGCGCTGATTTCCAAATAGGAAACAAAATGAACTTTATAGCATGACAGAAAAATTACATAAGTATTTTGTTTTAGACATTTTTTTCCACTTAAGAAAAAACGTTGCCACAGGAGAAAATCCTATTGTGGGGCAACGTTCGTTTACAAACATACTTTCATTTCACATGCACATCACACTCAGACCTGGAACAACAATCTGTGGATCACACAAAGAGTTATTCCGTGCGGGAATCGACACGTTGCGCGGCAGCCAGTTGCCTAGCCACTGCGCCAACCGTGCAGTCAACATAAAAAATTATTCCTACTAAATCCGTATTGGGGGGGGGGGGGGGGGGGGGGGGAATTGGGGAAGGGGAAGGATTCGGCCTTCGGTAACCTCACTCACACGGCGAAACACAACGCAGTGGTTATTTCACGCCGGTTTTCTGTGAGGCCGTGGTATCACTCCGGTCGAGCCGACCCATTCGTGCCGAAGCATGGCTCTCCCACACTTAACACATATAAAAAAAATCTTCCAAAAAACCTTTCATTATACATTGGAATAAATTGTCTCGATGCACAGCAGTTCAGATTGGACACAAAAAACAAAGGACAAAGCCACTTCTCAAATTCTATTGAACTATTTACATTGAACGTGTCAGCGGTTACTGTAACGATAGGATTGAAAATGTTCATTGTATTTATGTAAGTTTCTTTCATGAAAACCTGAATAGCAAGGAGCTATTCATCTTAGTGTGCTCTGACAGGTGATGGAGCGTCCTCTTTTAGGCACAGAAAAGTTATAAATCTAAAAAAGATTTGTGAAGTTTCGAGGTAAAGAGATTAGTGCTTCTGTGGTTCAAAGTGCGCTTTTTGAATCTATTTGTTCAAAGTTACGAACTTAGAATTGGATGAGGGATATTTACGAAATATAGACTTTTTCCAAATTATATGAACTTAATATTTAGACACTGTTGGCAAACGGTGAAGGAAATTGTGTTGAGGAAACCTTGCCATATGCGTTTGAAATCGCCAATCCGCCTTAAGCAAACGTAGTGGTTATTGCTCATATCTTCTCTGTGTTAAAATGGGCCTTTGCTCAGAAGCGGTTACCTATAGGCTGATGATGATGGTTGTTTTTTTTAATTTTTTTTTTTTTTTGTGAGGGGAAAATCATCAAATGACTTCTCCCGCCCAGGGCCGGGCAGGAGGGAGTGTCAGACTCTTACTGACTAAAAACCCCCCTGTTCCTTCTCCTGCTCTGTGCCGAGGTCGCGGTGCCTCATTGCGCTTACCCCGCAACCCCGGCTGAACATCAGCCCTTTAGGGCCCCATCTGTGGTGGTCTAATGGCTCTTTGAGGCGCGCGCGGAACGCTACGCGCCGTACGCTCGGGCCTGGTTCTGGTCGGGCGGCGAGCTGCCCTTACTCGCCGATGGCAGGCCCGTGCTTACGGTGGCCGGAGATCGTCCCTTGATCCCCGACGCCCGTAGTGTCGCCAGCTGCGGCTGCTGGGGCGTGAGGAGGAGGATTGCTCCCTCACGCGGGCCGCCTCTCTCTTTGCGAGCATGACTGCTTCACAAAAGGAGGAGACGGCGTCCCAGTTCCTCTCACTCCGCACCATGGCCTCGACTAAGGCCGGGCGCGAGAGGTCGCCGCCACCGATCACCTGATGATGATGGTAAAGGGTGATATTTAAGAAGGTAAGTGTAAATAACATTTGTTTCGTTATCTTGATAGTCCAAATCATAAAAGGCACGGCCTGGATCAAAAATTGCATCAAAGATATAAATAAACTTATTTAAAATTGTCACTTTTTTATTTTAGATACCTAATTGGATACCTAAGTATGGGAGAGCCAAGCTTCGACACGAAAGGGTCGGCTTGACCAGAGTGATACCACGGCCTTACAGAATACCGGCGTGAAACAACCACAACCACATGTGAGTGAGGTTATCGGAGGCACAATCCTGCCCCTTCCCCTATGCTTTCCCTATCCTTATATCCGCAATCCTTATCCCCAAAAGGCTGGCAACGCACTCGTAACTCCTTTGGTTTTACGGGTGTCCATGGGCGGCGTCGATTGTTTACCATCAGGTAATCCGTCTGCTCGTTTATATTTTTATTATCGTTTATATTTATATTATACCATAAAAAAAAAACAAAAAAAAGATAGAAGGTGACATATGACCGACTGTTCTCACAATAACAATTACTTCAGACATTTTAATTGTATAAAATTGAGAACAATAAGAACTTAATTAGCACGTAGTAAATTATGAAAGCAGGTATTATAATAGAGGTTCTGGCCAAAGAGATTAAAACAAGAATGTAAATGAGAGGGCTGTAGAACCAAGGGATCGGGTTCGTAATATGCTAATTAGAATGAGGTTTGGACCTCACGATAGCACTCTTTATTATATTTTCTGATATTTGCTCAAGTATTGTTCGAAGCTGCGGCAGCGGGATTTGAATTACATCATGGTGAGCTCTGTTTTTTAAGGATAGCAGTTTTGAAATCTGACACGTACTGGTATTTGTTTTAGCACAACCCACAGTTAAATGTACCTACATATATGTAGGTGGATTTCAATTTTGTACAGCTAGTACAAATATTTTGATCAACTGTATTGTAGGTACTGAAATTAAATTGAATTTTTTGATCGCTCGTTGTTATAAGAAAATTGACAATAGGCTCTCTTTAGCACACATGTCGAATAGGCAAATAATATGTAAGTAATCTCTATTCTATTTATTTATTTATTTATTTATACACTTTATACAAAAACATGTAAAGGTGGACTTAATGCCTTAGGCATTGTCTAACAGTCGACCTTTGGGTGATTGAGAGATAAGAGTGGCAGGTGACATAAGAATAAATAGCAAAATTTTATCAATTTACATTACTTAGATACCATATATAAATATAATAACGAAAAAAAAAAAAAACAATATCATTATATAAATAAATATATATAAATCAGGTATATTATATAATACACGAATAATAAATATATATATATGTATATAAAAATAAAAGTTATGAAAGATTTGAAATCGCCAATTTTTTCAGAAGATGCTCACGCAATCTTGATTTAAAAGACAAACGACTGGTTGCCATCCTAATCTCCGTGGGTAGTGCATTCCATAGCATAACAGACTGAATAAAGAAAGAAGAGTGAAGAAAGTCAGTGTGATGACTTATACATTGAAGATGACGATTATTGGAAGAACGTAGATATTTAGTATGGTTTGCACTGGTGTATTGAAAATAAGAAGATAGATAGCTAGGGGAGAGAGCCCTTTGCTCCCTGCGCTGGCGTATGGGCAACCACTTTAATTGCAGCCGATGTGCAGAAACATGATCATATTTACGCAGGTTGAAAACAAATCGAATCCAGTTATTCAGAAGTCGATCAAGCTTATTGAGGAGATCTGCATTCAGGTCGTAATAACAAACATCACCATAGTCAATAATTGGAAAAATAAGAGATTGCACAAGCGCTGCCTTTACAAAGGATGGGAGAAAATTTTTAAGGCGATATAGAGACCGCAGCGATCCTGTGACCTTTTTGCACACGTTGGTAACCTGCGTACGCCAGCTGAGGGTGCTGTCAATGTGCAGACCGAGATCCTTAACATCGCTACTAAATGGTATGACAGCATTATCAAAAATTACAGGTGGTAGCGTGCTATTGCCAATCTTACCTAGCATACGGGAACTGCCGATAACTATCGCCTGGCATTTGCTAGGATTAACAGCTATCCCAAACCTATCGGACCAGTTTTTAATGGCCTGCAGATCGACATTAAGCTTGTCAACAGCACCAGACAGCTGCTCTCTGCTAGCTTGACAGTATAATTGCAAGTCATCAGCATACAGATGATACGGACATTGAAGTTCTGTAGTAAGCATATTAATAAACAATGAAAATAGAAGAGGGGAAAGTATACCGCCTTGAGGGACGCCAGTTTCCAACGTGCACCAGCATGATGAATTATCACCAACCTGTACCCGTTGCTGTCGTCCCTGAAGATAGGAAGAAAACCATTGTAGACTATCATCGGAGACCATAAGGTGGGACAGGATGGCCAGGAGGACATCGTGACTGACCATGTTGAAGGCGTTGGAAAAATCAACTAACACCAGCACGGTGATCTTAGTATCATCCAAACCAACCCTCACATCGCCAGTCACTTTGAGGAGAGCGGTTGTGGTACTGTGTCCTGGTCTAAAACCAGACTGGAAAGGACTTAACAGGGAGTTTTGGAATATAAAATGCGAGAGTTGCTTATGAACACAAGCCTCAAGCACTTTAGACAGGAATGGAAGGATCGAAATTGGGCGGAAGTGGGTGGGTAGAGTAGGATTTGGGACCTTAGGAAGTGGCCTAACAAAAGCTAGGCGCCACAGAGATGGAAAAGAACCGGAGAACAAGGAAAAGTTTACTATATGGGTAAGGGCTGGGCAGAGGTGGTCCAAAACTGTTGTGATCATGTAACGGGAGATGTTATCACAACCAACAGCCTTGGACTTGATGGACAGGATAATCTTTTTGATCTCCGCTGACTCCACAGGAACAAAACGAAATGGAACAATTTTGGAACGCACCAGACCAGCAATGAAAGCTACTGTACCATCTATAGTCAGACGATCCAAAGACGAAGATGTGGAGAAATGTTTGTTAAGATCGTCTGAACTAATCGAGTTTGGAAGGTCTGAGTGTTGCGTTCTGCCAATACCCAGAGATTTTAAAAATTTCCAGATATTGGCAGGAGAAGATGAAGAGATATTTTCAAGGATGTGTCGGCGTTTGGCGTTACGTACCATCTGGTTGCATCGATTCCTTGCAATCTTAAAAGCTACCCAATTTTCCTCAGTGCGGTCTCGCTTGTGCTTACGAAACGCGCGGTCCCTACGACGCATCGCCATTTGAATGCCTCTGGTCATCCACGGCGCAGGCGGGCGTTTCATTTTCACCTTACGAATAGGAGCATGCCGGTCATATAAATCTATTATAGTTTTATTGAAAATGGTAACCTTTTCATCGATCGAATTCGCCTGCATCAGTGGCTCCCAGTCGAGGCTTGATGCATCATATTGCAGCCTCTCTCCATCCATTTGCCTAAAACAGCGCCTATACACTATCCTGGGCTTAATTTTGGGAGGTTTTAGGACATAGGATAGGTGCACAAGGTCGTGGTGGGAAAAGCCCGGGGCATCGTGTTGGCCATGACTGGCAACAAAAGAGGGATTGGAGGTGAGGATTAAGTCGAGCCAAGTGTCAGTGCTACCAGTATTGTGATGTGTGGGTAGAAGTGGCAACACGTGCAAACTGGCTGACTCGACTAATTCGAGGAGTTTACGGCTTCGATAGGAGGTGGGAGTAAGGAGATTGGTATTAAAGTCGCCCATGACTATGATATGTTCGCACTCCGAACCCAAAGATTCAAGCACTGATTGGAATTCAGTGAAGTAATCAATATTTGGAGGACAGTAAACTACACCCAAAATAACCTTGACCCCCTGGACACAAACCTCAAGGAATATGTACTCCGCAAAACAGTTGGAAGAAGTTACAAGAATTTTATAAGGAAAATCACTGCGGAGGTACACTGCCACACCCCCACCCCTCCCCTCGACCCTGTCATTCCTTATCAGGATATAACCGGTCAAAGGGTAAGTGGTGGACGGCAAATGAGGTTTCAGCCAGGTTTCGGAAATCAGGACGGCGTGAACGCTGCCATCATTAAACGCCTCGTAAAGGTCACTGTAATGGCTGGGGACACTCTGAGCATTAATATGGCAAACGTTCAGCAGTCGATTATCTTTGCTATGAAATTGTTTATGGATAAAGTCTCCAAGAGTTTCTTCAACAGCTGAGCAAAAACTATAATTACTGGAAGAGTCATCTTCATTGGCAGATTCAAAAATTTCGTCGTCAGACATAAATTAAAATTATAAAATATACTAATGCAACTAAATAAATGAAAATATAAAATAATAATAATAATAAAAACTACAAAAAAAATGTTAGTAAATAATCGGAGCGCGCATCTAGTCTGCACCACCCGCCAGCCTATGTCAACCATACTCAAAATAACATCAATCATAAAAAAAAAATACACAAAAAAAATCAACAAAACAAGAAACGAATCTGCAAGCACAAATACCCAAACTTAAAACATTAAAGAAGATATAAAAAGAAACAAAAAAAGTAGAATAACTAGGCATCCGAACAAAGCAAAACAAAAATGTTGCTAAGCATTTCCGAACGTTCAAAATATACATTGACAGTTGACAGCAACAAGTTCATCAGATCATAGACAGTCAGTACTAGTAAAAAATAAATTAATACAAATACATCTGTGTTAGCAAGCGTGAATTAAATTAATTTTACGGTCATTTGCAAATTTCAATAGTGAAACTATAAATTACTATGAAAAGTAAAAAATAGGCTATTCTAGACATCCACAACAACGGAGAAGTTAAGAGTGCATCGCGGACCGTTTGGGGATTAGGGATTTTGAGATTTTCGGATTAGGGGAGGGGAATGATTGGGCCTCCGGTAACCTCACTCACACGGCGAAACACAACGAGTGCCTTCAGTTCCTGTGAGGCCGTGGTATCACGCCGGTCGAGCTGGCCCGTTCGTGCCGAAGCATGGCTCTCCCACACTTATATCTTTGAAGTGAATTGAAATTTGTTTACCATAAATGGATAAAGTACTAAATTCTAATCATTATCTATTTATACCAACATTACCACCATGTAATAACTTACAATTTGCGGTACGGCAGTGTATGAAACGTATACTACCGGTGCATAGGTGCACAATGCAAGTGGTTACCGCTGGACTAAATCTATTTGCATTATTCAGATTTATGGCTGCACAAAGCAGATACGCGGTTAAGTAGTTGAGTGGAAGCACGCAGACTGAGTAGTGGTCTTTATCGCCCTTACAGTGAATTGAAAATGTATTCCTTGACTTGAGGATTTGTTTTTTGTCAGTGTTTTAGATTAAATTTAATATAAAAGACGATGAAAATAAGGTCAATCCTACTTTTAATTTCATTCATCATCATCAGCCTATAAGTGTCCACTGCTGAGCAAAGGCCTCTTCTCATACGGAGAAGGTTAGAGCGTTAATCACCACGCTTGCTCAATGCGGGTTGGCGATTTCAAACTAATAATTAGAAATTATAAGTCCAGGTTTCCTCACGATGTTTACCCTCACCGTTTGCCAGTGGTGTCTAAATAGTCATAGAAAGTACATATAACTCGGAAAAAGTCACATTGGTACTTGCCAGGTTTCGAACCCACACCCTCATACATGAGAAGCGGGCTCCTTAACCTCCGGGCCACCACGACACACTTTTAATTTACTGTGTCATAAATCCCAAGTGATATAGAAATTGTGATTTACTAGGACATGTAATAAGAGAAGTCATGTTTATAAGTTCGTTGTAGCCTAAAAAGGTAATCCAAGTCGATTTTAATTGTCACACCAAAAGATCAATATTACTCGATACACATTTTTAGACCGTTATCACCAATTACGAGTAGCGCATTAAGTTTCGTTCGTACAAGCGCGCAAGAAAGTTTCTTTTGACGAAATTCCATCACGTAGCAGATCCACCTTCAGAAGAAAGGCTTCATTGCTCCCAAAACAAAGTTTCCGGGTGTTTTCAACTATTTGCAATGTTATAAGCGAGATAAAAGAGAATATCTCGAGATCTGAATTAAGTGCCGTGTAAAGTTTCATCCTCCTTAGACAGCAAGTTTGGGAATTCGCGAGTTTTATTCATTATCCGCCTCGACCAACCTGATGATTGGCAGGAAAACTAATATTTGATGACATGGCTTTTTAATTAACCATTCTCTTTGACTTTTGGCAAGTTTATTGACTCAGTTGTAGACAATTTGTAACCTTTGGACTTAGGCCTGGCTGACCTTTAATGAAGATTTAGTTAAACACAAACACACTGCCTTTATACTTACTTACTTTGATCCTCTTATTACAAAAATAAATATTGTATTATCTTACCTACAAACCAGGGATTCCTCTTATTATTCTTCACATTTAAGTTCAAGAAGTACTCTTTGAACCCCTTGACGTCATTGGCCTGGGGTTGAACGCTGATGGTGCCTTCCACTGCTCGTTCATTTCCATCAGAGACCAGAGATCTGGCACTCCACCCATCAGACCCCACCCAGCTGAAGGAGTGGGTGGCGTTGGCTCGTTCCACTGCTCTCATCACCCCTGCGACTTCTTGGTCTGAACCGAAGATAATGGCACCTGGGAATAAAAACGATACATTGTAATGTTGGTTTTTATCATTACGTAGTACTTAATTTAGGTGTAAGTATAAATAATAGGAAGTGTTTACAAAATTCATGATGAGAAATGAGTTATCACTTAATCTTACACTAGGATTCGTTTTTTATTAGTTTTTCTCTGATTCCACTAAATATGCAGTTTTTATAGAATTGTGAACAAATATTATGTAAAATCATAAACTTAAAACTATGTCAATCGGTTTAGCAAGACTATTTTGAATAGAAGTCCTACATTGGTTGGATTTTGAAATAATAACAATTTTAAGACGTTTTCATTAAAGATGTCAATTAAAGTAATAAAGATAGGCTTCAATGAGAACCGTGACGTGGCACAATGTCAAGCAGCTGTTTACTTGTTTAGTATCGAAGCGAAGTTGTACACTGACGTAGCTTAGAGGCACAAAGGCCTATCGTGTTCAAACAAAGGCGTGTAACAACTAATTTATTAGCCCTTACGGGAGCGGAAATCCGAGGGGATGCCTTGTTTTATTAAACAGGTAAAGCCTTTCAGTGTTTATGTTACGGCACGTGCTGCCTGATCGAATTATAAATAACAAATTTCTTTGGTGTAATTAATTATTATTATTTATTTTATGTAATAAGACGGCAAACGAGCTCAGTTATTACCTGATGGTAAGCAATCAGCGCCGCCCATGGACACCCGCAATAGCGGAGTTACGAGTGCGTTACCGACCTTTTGGGGATTAGGGATTGGGCCTCCGGTAACCTCACTTACACGGCGAAATTCAAAACTGTGGTTGTTTCAAGCCGGTTTTCTGTTAGGCCCTGGTGTCACTTCGGTCGAGCCTACCCATTCGTGACCATGGCTCTTGCACGCTTATATTTTTTGTTGGCGTTACTGTTAATTAGCATACCTTTATATGGTGAGCTTTACGTGTTTTACGAGGAGACGTCTATTACCCTAGTTTCTGATAAATGATGGAACCTAAAATACTGAAAATTTCATTTCGTCTGTCGATCGTACAGAGATTGACTTCGACGGCTATTACGGCGCAAGAATTCAAGGCCATCGGTCATAAATTCTGGATCGTAATCCGGAAACGAGGTCCCAACTTTTTGGATATTGACTCATGCATTGAAACAATGCCGTCACGTGTAACTAACTTTAAGGAGTTTCTAGTACAAGTTTTAACTATAACATTGCATTTTATTTGTGCGAAATTTCTACCTAAATAAACAATGTATTTTATAAACACTTTTTTAGTGAGATTCTTCTTAGCTCTCTACTTTTATTTCTACTTTTCTATCGCTTTTAGGTGTAGAAGAGTTTTAGTCTGGTATGATGATGTGTCATGCTATAATTTTGGTTATGTGTATGAATTTTCATAGTGTCGTGGTGGCCCGGAGGTTAAGGAGCCCGCTTCTCATGCATGAGGGTGGGTTCAAAACCTGGCAAGTACCAATGTGACTTTTCCGAGTTATATGTACTTTCTATTATTATTTAGACACCACTGATATACGGTGAAGGTAAACATCGTGAGGAAACCTGGACTTATAATTTATAATTATAAGTTTGAAATCGCCAACCCGCATTGAGCAAGCGTGGTGTTTAATGCTCTAACCTTCTCCGTATGAGAAGAGGCCTTTGCTCAGCAGTGGGCACTTATAGGCTGATGATGATGATGATGATGAATTTTTTGCAACCCTCTGCACTTGGTTTATGAGTTTAAAACCATGTTAGTATCGTCGTAATTACATTCGAAAACGTTGAAATAGGATTTTCAAAGAAGAGAAAAGTAATAATTTAACATCTCCGCCAGGTCAAGCTGACAATTTCGGTCTTATTCGTGCCAATATCAACATGACTGGGAATATATGAGAGGTGCTCGAATACCGGACGGTGTGTGCAATTGAACCGAATATTGGTGTTATTTGCTGATTCATTCATTATACGAGAATATGTTCTTTGTGAGACCGAATCAATGATTATTAAGGTATAGGTGAGTACTAAGTACATATTAACACCATATGGACTAGGTGTATACTAGTACAGACTAGATATGAGGGGACGGATGGCCAGCAGTATTTTCGACATTATTCTTTAATTAAACGGTGATCCCAAAACAGCCTGGTTAACGTTGTTATAAATGTCACATTATGAAGTGAGGCATTTCTCGGCAATTAAGGCTGATAGTGATAATGATGATAATAAAGCTAGCATGCTTCTATTTGGGTATACACAAAATAAAGAGTAACACGACAACATTGATGAAGAAAGTAATCTAGGTAGTACAAAAAATAGTGTGTCTACAGTATTGATTGCAGCTCCAGGCTTATCCAAACAGACAAAGCTGTGCAAAGACTTTGTATATTAAGCGTATCGTTTCGATACTCGACTATCGTAATGGCAATAAACATCTCATACGATACGATTTCAGAGCAGACTTCTTTGAACATGTATCCAATATACGTGCTTCATTCTGATCTCGTTGTCAAACGTATAACATTATTGAGTTTTCTATAATTGAAAATTTGTAAAATTTGAAAAAAGAATACTATCTTAGATGACAAAGAAATTTGGTATTTCCGAAAGCCAAAAAAAGACTTTTTAGATTTCAATACAACTAAATAACTAAAATAAATATTGAAAAATAATCTAACTTCATTAATGGATTTGACGATATATACTTAATTTTTGATTTTTATTAATAATTAAAAAAAAAATATGCTGTTTGACCCAAACCTATGACGACGTCACATTATGTTTTCCATACAAAATTCATAGAACAGATTCGTTTTTGACAGTTTGATAAAAGTGTTGAATTTGACTGGTTGTCAAATACCGAAATAGTCGAGCTGCTCGTATCTAGTGCAAGAAGGCATAAAAAGTTTCTGTACTCTTTTAAAGATAAATTTAAGAAAGGCGATGAAACTCAGACCTAAAAATAAGTTCAAAGAGAATTCAAGCCATTCATAAGGTTCAGAGATAAGCCTTGTACTTATTCACATTATCCTACCATTCCACTGTTTTATGTTTCTTTGTGGCGAGAAAGAAAGTAAAGTATCCGAAGTAAATTCAGTCGCAAATAATAAATCTTAGCCGTAATGTAGGCAGCGCACCGAGGCAGCGACAGGTGACGCTATTTGTAACACTAAGCTTCTGAATTAAAATAGATAGTACTTGGTTCAAGAAGATAACACGAAAGTACTGAACACATAGTCATTTGAATACATTTGGGAATATATTTATGAGCCCGTACTCCTCGTAACTCTTATCACTTACTTTAGATTTGTTGTTTCTAGCAACGCCTACTGGCTTTCAGCGAAATGTAAACATAAACTATAGTCTTCTAAAAAGTAAATATCCTCCCAGTTGTATCTAAAATTAGTATTAATGTATTTTACTATGAAGAAGGGTTTGTATCAAGAGATTTGATTGAGATATTAATAATATTTTCTAGTCTTTAAACTGCCTGAATTTTATTACATTACCGGCCATCACTAAGATTTTTTATAAGTGTATAATGTTGTCGTGTAAAAGTGCTATTATAGATGTATTCATATGGCAGCATGGCAGGCTATATGATTATGGGCTTATTATAAAAATGAATTTATTGTTTCATTACATTAAACTAAAAAAGTTAATAATTCATATTTTATTTATATATAAGAAACTTTTTTTGAACTGTTTTGAAAATATTTTTGTCGATCAAATTAAGAATTCATAATAATTTTAGGTACTAGATACGGTTTCGCCCGCATGGTATGTGGATAGAAAGCAGCTTACGTGTTTTTCCAGGGTCAACTTATATAGGTACCAAATTTCAACTAAATCGGCTCAGCTGTTTTTGCGTGAAAGAATAACAAACATACCAAAACATTCTTACAAACTTTCACATTTATAATATTTGTAGGATTTTATCTTGCTTTAGATATAAAATAAGGCACTTTTAATTTTTTAAGTTCTGTAATCTTGTTGTAGTCGCCCTGTGTTGAATGTAACAGCATTATAAATGTAATCAATAATTCATAAGTTGCAGGGACTCTTTAGCTCAGTACTGGTTCTAGTGCGATGCACTCTGCACTTTCTGCTTCATTGCACATTCGATTTATGTGTGATGGCTGCTGCGCTTGGTGCCCGTATAAAGAGAGTATTCCCATGAATTTTATTCAGCCAACGCAGAGCAATATTGCACATTTATTTGCCGCGGAACATTGACCAAGTAGGCCACATTTGTAAACAGTTTCCATATTAATGTTATTCGCAGTGTTCTGTATCTGATCATTCGTGGAAGCATTGAAACGCCACCTGCTTTAATGCGGCACAATCAGCTCGCTGTTCAGCTCTCCCCACGCAATGCTCGCCCATCCACACGGACGCAAAGTGGCGTAGTTAATGGTAATCATCTCCTATCGTCGCTATTGAATCTATTGGAGATTCAATTTCAGTAACCGCTTTAGCGAAAAATTGTTTTACTCAGCGCAGCTGCCTATCTGTGTAGCGCACGGCCACAATTTATCATGTCCTCGTCGCCAATATGGTGGAACTAGATAAAATTACAGTTTATAGCGCCTTGTTTGTCGTTCCATTGGATTTTTGGGACGGTTTACTAAGATTTTGCGCAAAGGTTTAAAAAAAAAAATAGACTTCCTACAATTTTATTGGGCTATTGTTAGTTTGAATTTAAATTGCAAATTAAGATTAGTTAAAATATCAGGTTTCTCCTGGACTTGTCGCTTATAATAATCTTGTGTACACTTTTGATATAATCCTAGCTGGTATCCTGGTTAACCGTATCCGCAAACAACTCCTTTGACGAAAGCAACTAAACCGTGGCAATAACGCGCCAAATCTCCAGGGAACTCAACTTCTGTACGCAATTACAAACTACTGTTTCACGAATAATATTATTACAATCCCAGATTACTGCGGAAATTGTTACAACCGAAACCGATTTTAGTTTAAATTATCAGAAATTTACATAGTAATTAGTGCGGTAAATTGCTATAAATACATATCGGTTTCGAGTGGAGATGTGAGAATCGTTCCTATGTTCCAAGGTCAAACTACAGGTGGTAGGTACTTGTACATTGTATGAGCGTTTGTACGTAACGTGGAACCAAATGTGTTTAGTTCAGATATGGGAGGATTGGTCTTACCTACTTGGTGGCTCAGTTGTTGATTCGAGTAAACTAATTAAATATCTATGTGTGTATTTTTGATAGAATAGGAGGCATACCAGCCTACGTATCACTTGATAGTAAGCACCTCTGCCTACAGACATCCGTAACACCGAAAAGCTCACAAGTGCGTTGCCGGCCTTTAAGAACAGGTTCTTAGTTTCCGCAAAGTAATATTTGATTCTACTCAATTTTTTTTTTAATTTTTTTTTATTCAATAGGTCGGCAAACTAGCACACGGATTACCTGATGGTAAGCAATCAGCGCCGCCCATGGACACTCGCAACGGAGGAGTTACGAGAGCGTTGCCGACCTTTTAGGGATTAGGGATTTGGAGATTTAGGGGTTTAGGAGAGATTGGGGGAGGGGAAGGATTGGGCCTCCGGTAACCTCACTCACACGGCGAAATACAACGCTGTGGATTTATTAGTCAAGTCTGCAAAGACTACCTAGTTTGATACCAGCTGAGCATAAACGTCAGTAGGGAAAAATTTTTGCCACATTTTTATACCTTACGGCACGGAGAGTAATGAAATAAAGTAAAAAGTAATTTCTGATAAATCACTGCAATAAATATTAGTTAACATGGAAAGCTCATTTAGTTCACATGTTAACGAAACACAATTTTTAAATCTAAGTAGAAAAAAAAGTAATTTAATAGTTCTAGTGTTATTATTAATGTGTTCAGTGGGTTTTGTAAAAACTGTGACATCATCCGACAATTCTGGCCCTATAGGGCTGATGTTCAGCCGGGGTTGCGGGGTAAGCGCAATGAGGCACCGCGACCTCGGCCTAGAGCAGGAGAAGGAACAGGGGGGTTTTTAGTCAGTAAGAGTCTGACATTCCCTCTCACTCCGGCCCTGGGCGGGAGAAGCCATTTGATGATTTTCCCCTCACAAAAAAAAGTCCGACAATTCTATTAGTACTGCCATGTTGCCATGTGAATATAATTCAGTGGTCATAATGTATTCAGCCGTAAATATGGAACTAGAACAAACTAAATCATATGAATTTGCTAAACCCATTTATTATTATTATTAATTACCGTTTGCTGTAAATTATACATTCATTCATTTTGCACGTTTAATATACGACAGGAATTCTATACTTTGTGTGGCTTTGTTTATGTTTGTATTTGTTATTCACAACTTGACTTTATTGTTTACACTTACTGAAATTATTGAATTTACTAATAGCTTATTAAAACTGTTAGTTCACTGAATTAGTATAATCGTACTACACCCCTTTCACACAAACACCTGAATAGGAAAATAACTTATATCTCACTTTTAGGTCCATAGTCAAAATCTGTTCATAACATCAAACAATATTAGGACGGATCTGTTTCCTTACCTCGTGCCCTGGGTTTGGTGAGCAGTTTGGACACGATCTCGTCGTAAGCACCTTCGTGAGCCACTCCTGAGTCTTTCACCAGTTTTTCTTTTACAGCTATGCAGATGTTGCTCTTCGCAAGTAAGGCTTCCAATTCTTCGAATGCCTGAAACAAAAGGCCTATTATGTACGAATATCAATTACAAAACGATATGTGAAGAAAAAGATATGGATGAATAGATAGACTGTAGAAAAGAGGTAAAGGGAATAGGAGCACGTGATACAATAATGTTAGATAGAATTCTAGTTATCCTTTGGACAGAGAAGAGAAATCATATCTCGGAAGAAAAAGTATAAAAGGATTAGATAATTTTTGAAAGCCCAATCCTAATCTGCTCTATATGCTTAAATCAGGAATTAGTTTGTTTGACCAAATTACAAATGAGATAGAATTTACATTTGAATAGTGATATTAAAACAAAAACCAGCCGATATTACCACCTACCCGAAACATTAGCAGTAAATAAGAGACGTTGCCAATTATTATAATACAGTCGGATTAATAACAAATTCAAATGAATTTGTATAATCAGGCTATTGCTTTTAATGTGATTGTTCTATTTATTTTAGTATCGTGAAGATTAAATTAATCGCTTTCACATTTACAATAGAATACAATACCTATCGCAGCTTGATTTTGTCCAAACGATTAATTGTTAGAGTCAGACTATATTGTTGTATTTACCACATGTTCAGATATGGAAAGTAGGATAGGCAGATGAAGATGAGGAAATAGTTTTTTTACAATTTGTTCCGTTTAAATTTTTGATATTCCAGAAGATCATTTCATTCTGTAGTTGATCTTATTAACATTTTTTAAATTAATAATTCATGCAGTCTAGAATTTCTTAAAAAATAATCCTAAATAATTCAAATCCTTAAAATAAAAAAAAAAAACATTTACTTTTTCCTTAAGTAACAAAGGATAAACATATTTATGACTAGACCCATTTCACCCTTTAACATTTTAACCTAATTTGATTAAGGTTTTACATTACATCTATTTGATCTATTTCCACTTAACCAGCTATATTCATGACAATAATTAACCTCTGAACCTCAAATCTTCAAATCAAACCCGTCGGTTGGTGTAATTGCCTTTCCCTGAATACATGCCTTGTTCATTAGGGCCTAATCCATCAACGTTTACCACAAATTAAACGTACGGTCAACGACTGCATTCATATTCATGACGTCACATCAATTTATCTGGGTCTAACATGGCTGCTCGTGGTATTGTGACACGCTCAGTTGAGCTTCGTGGTTACCAGTTAATCTTGATTAGAAGTGAGATTAGCTGCTGTGCTAAACATTGTTAGGTAGCATTTTGCTTTGTGCAACGTGTTAGTGAAAGAAGTTTAAGTGCCTATCGTAATTTAATTGGATCGGTAAGGACAATGTAATACTTCTCCTAAGATCTTGCAAAAAGGGTCCTTAAGACGGCTACAAACCATTAATTTTGTTAGCATTGGCGATATCGACGTAACACTTGTAAATAGCAAATTAAGACCTATAAATATGGAAAATGATGCCACTTACCTTAATCCCATAACTGGACTCTTCATAGATGATGGAGACGTAACTCCACTCTAGTTTCTTGACAATCTCCACCATGGCTCGCACTTGGTGGTGGTCGGAAGGTATCGTGCGTGTGAAGTACTCAAATCGGGCTTTATTTGACAGCTCCGGTGATGTGGAGAAGAATGAAACCTGGTCAAAGATCTTTCAATGAAGTAACAGCTCATGAAAAAAAAAAATATAAGCATTTGGTTATTACACCGACTCTAAAAGTGTTAGATTCTGCAGTAGGTCCCTTGGGAAAGTTAACTAAATAATTGGATAATGCCTAAAACGTTGCCTAGAGATTGTAAATTTCGTCGTGAATTGTCAACACGAGTTGGTGTAATCGGTAAGGCGTGTGGATTACACCACAGAGACCCCGAGTTCGAGTCTCGCCGTAAACATGAAGTTTTTTAGTTGATAGAAGTTTTGTCGAACTTTCTGGAATATTTGAGTGAAAGTAATGAAAAATTAAGGAGCGAGAAGGAGAATAAATAAAAATGAATAACGAAATTATTGGAAGGTTCTGGAGGCATGACGATCAAAAAGAATAACGAAATTGAATGTTCTAGAACCTGACCGGGGGTATATAAGCGGAACTGCGGCCCACCGCTGGCAGTTGAGTTCTAAGTCCAAAGCGATTCGGAAGAAAAGGAAGAAGTGAAAAGAAGAAAAGTGAGTGAAATAGTGAAGTACAGTGAAATAGTGAAGTGCAGTCAGTTAAGTGAGTTAAGTCAGCGTGAACAGTGAACGGCAAAGTTGTGTCAGTCGGCCGGACTCTGCTGGAGAGGAACGCCAATAACTTATCCGTATCCGTTGACGCTGTCACTTAAGTGCAATAGAAAGTCTGAAAACCGGTATTAGTGTTTAATTTCATCCAATCCCGTAACCCAAGCCCGCATAGTTAGGAACGTGACGTCAGGCACGTAACATTTGGTGTCAGAAGTGGGATTGGAGAAAAATGCCGCTAGTGCCGCAGGACGTAAGAGGAGTGAGTACCCGTGCTATGTCAGAAGCGCAGCGTGTGAGGGAAGAGGGTGCTGCAGCTCAGACCAGCAATGCAGAAGCCAAGCCTGTGCAGATGGATCTTCTGCTACAGCTGCGGCAAATGATGGCAGAACAGCTGCGTGAGCTGAAAGAAGATCAAGCGCGCCGCCAAGAAGAGCAAGCACGCTGTCAGGCAGAACAGCTGCGGGAGCTGAAAGAAGATCAAGCGCGCCGCCAAGAAGAGCAAGCGCGCCGCCAAGAAGAGCAAGCGCGCCGCCAAGAAGAGCAAGCGCGCCGCCAAGAAGAGCAAGCACGCTGTCAGGCAGAACAGCTGCGGGAGCTGAAAGAAGATCAAGCGCGCCGCCAAGAAGAGCAAGCGCGCCGCCAAGAAGAGCAAGCGCGCCGCCAAGAAGAGCAAGCGCGCCGCCAAGAAGAGCAAGCACGCTGTCAGTCAGAACAGCTGCGGGAGCTGAAAGATGATCAAGCTCGTCGCCAAGAGGAGCAAGCACGCTGTCAGGCAGAACAGCTGCGGGAGCTGAAAGAAGATCAAGCGCGCCGCCAAGAAGAGCAAGCGCGCCGCCAAGAAGAGCAAGCGCGCCGCCAAGAAGAGCAAGCGCGCCGCCAAGAAGAGCAAGCACGCTGTCAGTCAGAACAGCTGCGGGAGCTGAAAGATGATCAAGCTCGTCGCCAAGAGGAGCAAGTGCGTCGCTTGGAAGACATGCATAAAGATTTCACGAAGGGACTGCAAAAGGCTGTCAAACGGGTACAAGAAGTGGAAGAAGAGATCTCCAAAATCAAGCAGGAAGTGACAAACCCAAGCCCTTTGAAGAGCCGAAGCCGTCTTGCAGCCGTTTTTGACGCCCCAAATGCGGCCTTAAGCGCAACGAAAGGGCTCAAGATTCCCCATTACGACGGAACAACATCCTGGACCGCGTTCAAGCTACAGTTTGAGACACTTATGGAGGCTTATGGTTGGACTCAGAAGGAAGCACAGTCAGCCCTCACCCTGGCCCTCCGTGATCAAGCGCTCTCAGTGCTGGAAGCTATCGGCGCAAGTGGGGATCTCAGCTTTAGTGCCCTCCTCAACGCACTTGAGGCACGTTTTGGAGACAGCCACCTCGAGCACGTATACAGAGCGCAATTAAAAGAGCGTACTCAGCGTGCTAATGAGAGCCTACAGCAATGGTCCGTGGAAATCGAGAAACTTGTGCGTCGAGCTTTCCGGTCGACTCCGTCAATGATTGAAGGCACGCTTCTCCTAGCGTTCATTGACGGTATTCGGGACCCCGAAGTACGAGCTGCTGTTCATCTGGGCCATCACAAGAACATGAAAGAAGCTCTGGCCCATGCATTGGAAGTGGAAGCCGTGCGTGGCAACTCCCGTACCTTACGTCTGCGGGAAATGACGACAACGGAGCAGATACCTCCACGCCGTCGGAATTTCATGTGCTATGGATGTGGAGAGCGTGGGCACATACGGAGCGACTGCCCGAAGAAGATGAACCGCCAGGACGCGGCGGTCTCAACTTCTGACCAGCAGGGAAACTTAAATCCAGCCAGGGCTGCGGGGTGGGCGCTGGCTGGTAGTGGAACAACCCCAACAATCTACATCAAGCAAACCAACGATGGAAATACTCTGGTGATAGACGGTCAAGTAAATGGGAAAAACAGTCAGCTAACATTAGATACTGGAGCTTCAAGGACGGTGATAAATGTTCGGCTGCTCGAGCAAAACATCAGGAAACACCTTAAACCAATTGTTGGCCTACAAATGAAATCAGCTACCGGCCAGTGCATACCGATAAGTGGAAAACTGCATGTAACAATCAAAATTGGGGAACGTGTTTATCGACATGAGGTTATTGTGGCCAAAATTCTGGATGACTGCATCCTGGGACTTGACTTCCTGCAAGGGCACCAGTGTAACATCGACCTAAAATCTGGAGTTTTACTATGTGGAACTGAGGAAATTCCGATGAAGGGTGGAACCCTGGGAAAAGTTTGCTGTTTAAGAAGAACTGTTCTTGCACCAAAATCACAGACTCTCGTACCAATCGCATTACCTAGGAGGAAGGAAGGAAGTTTACCTCGAAGGTGCGCTGTGATTGATAAATCGGAACACGTAAGCTCATGGCTACCGGCAAGAACTGTCGTGGGGTCATCTGATGTCAACTGCATTCCAGTATTCAACTTCAGTGATTCAAAAATTACGATTGAAGAAGGAGAGCCTGTGGGCGTATTGGAAGAAGTGGCCTGGATAAGAAAATGCTCGGAGAATCTTGTGAAGAAGGACAGTACGGGAATAGACTTTGTAACGAAAATCTTAGACGAAAACAAAAGTCTGACAAAAGTGGAGACTATGAAAGCTAGAAATTTACTTCTTCGATTCTCTGATGTGTTTTCAAGAAGCGATGGTGATATTGGCCGAACTGGTTTGGTGAAGCATAAAATAAACACAGGTGATACAATGCCAATTCGTCAAAGGCCCAGACGCATACCATTCGCTCGTGAGAAAGAGGTTGAAGAAATGATTGACGATATGAGGAAAAATGACGTGATAGAGCCCTCTTCTAGCCCTTGGTGTTCACCTGTCGTGCTTGTCAAGAAGAAAGATGGTTCAACGAGGTTTTGCGTAGACTATCGACGATTGAATGATGTAACCAAGAAGGATAGCTACCCGTTACCAAGAATCGATGACACACTTGACACACTGAGTGGTATGAAATGGTTTTCAACGCTCGATCTGAAAAGCGGCTATTGGCAGGTGGATTTGGATCCCAAGGACAAGGAAAAGACCGCATTCTCAACTGGGAAGGGACTCTGGCAATTTAAGGTGATGCCATTTGGATTATGCAATGCACCGGCAACCTTTGAGCGTTTGATGGAACAGGTGCTGGCGGGACTGCTGGGCGAAACCTGCCTAGTTTACCTCGATGACATCATCATTGTTGGACGGGATTTTGACGATCACCTAAGGAAATTGGAAAAGGTACTCGATAAGCTGCGTGGAGCAAATTTAAAGTTGAGTCCAAAGAAATGCTCTTTCTTCAAGCGCGAAGTGAATTATCTAGGACATGTTATTTCTGAGAGAGGAATTGAGACTGATCCAGCCAAGACTGCCGCTGTTAAGGAATGGCCAACACCTAAAGACAAAACGCAAGTTCGGGCATTTCTTGGATTGTGCTCGTATTATCGGCGGTTTGTGAAAGGATTCTCGGACATTGCCAAGCCTTTGCATCGATTGACAGAGGAGAAACGTGCCTTTATCTGGGACGAGGATTGTGAGCAAGCCTTTCGAGAACTAAAAGAACGGCTTTGTAACACACCAATTCTCGGATACCCCAGCGCGAAAGGAATATTCGTAGTTGATACGGATGCCAGCAATATTGGAATAGGAGGTGTCCTTTCACAACGCGATGGTGAGCAGGAGAAGGTTATTGCTTACTTCAGCAAGTCACTATCCAAGCCGGAGAAGAATTATTGCGTGACCAGGAGGGAATTGCTGGCCGTAGTCAAAACTCTGCACCATTTCAAGAAGTATTTACTGGGACGGAAATTTTTGATCAGAACTGATCACGCTGCTTTGAAATGGCTGCTTCAGTTTAAGGATCCCGAAGGCCAAGTAGCCAGATGGTTGGAACAACTTCAGGAATTTGACTTTGAAATCGAACATCGCGGCGGAAGAATTCATGGCAACGCAGATGCATTATCGAGACGCCCATGCGTGGAAGATTGCAAGCATTGTGCCAAGAAGGAAACTGCTTTTCTTAAGGTGATAAGGACTGATACTGTTGACGAGGCATGGGGAGATGATGCGATGAAATTAGAACAGGAAAGAGATGCAGGTATCAAACCAATACTGGAGTGGCTACGAAGTGGTAACAAGCCAAGTTGGAGTGACGTCGCCCAATATAGCGCGGTAACGAAAGGTTTATGGGCACAGTGGAAAAGCCTTACGCTGCATAACGGACTTCTGTGCAGGAAATGGGAATCAACAAACGGCAAGGACGAGCATTTGCAATTGGTGGTGCCTCGTTCAAAAATAAGGGATGTATTAAAAGCGTTCCATGATGGATCTTCTGGAGGACATTTGGGAATTAGGAGGACTTTGGTGAAGATCAAGGAGAGGTTTTATTGGTTGCATTGCAAATATGACGTCGAAGATTGGTGCCGGAAATGCACTAGTTGTGCAGCTGTTAAGGGTCCACAAACAAGAAGCAGAGGGGCGATGAAAATCTACAATGTTGGTATGCCTTGGGAGAGAATAGCCTTAGACATCGTTGGACCATTTCCAATCACTGATTCGGGCAATCGCTACGTTTTAGTGGTTATGGATTATTTTACAAAATGGCCGGAGGTCTTTGCCATACCGAATCAAGAGGCAGTAACTGTAGCCACGAAGTTGGTAAACGAGGTATTCACCCGATTCGGAGTGCCCTTGGAGATGCACAGTGATCAAGGACGGAACTTTGAATCCCAAGTTTTCCAGGAAACTTGTAAACTTTTGGGAATCCATAAGACTCGAACGACCCCTTATCATCCACAGTCAGATGGAATGGTCGAACGCTTCAACCAAACATTGGAGCGACACTTAGCAAAGGTGGTTGACAGCCATCAGAGAGATTGGGACGCTTACATACCTCTCTTCTTGCTTGCCTATCGGACTGCTGTACATGAAAGTACCGCAAAGACGCCTGCATTTGCAAATTTTGGAAGGGAATTGAGATTACCGGCAGATCTTGTATCGGGCTGTCCACCTGGTGACTCTCGCACCGAGTTTAGCGATTACATAAGCGAGTTAAGGGCAAAAATGTTGGACATTTATGAGCAGATCAGGGAGGCCGGTCTTCAAGCTAGTGATCGCGCAAAGACGCGCTATGATCGACGAGCCAATTCTGTTGGGTTTGAAGAGGGGTCATTGGTCTGGCTTCATAATCCAGTCAGAAGGAAGGGAAAATCTCCAAAGCTGCAACCGAGTTGGGAAGGTCCTTACGAGATAGTCACGAAGATCAATGACATTACTTACAGAATTCGGAAGTCTTCAAGGAGCCCTTTGAAAGTTGTCCATATAGACAGGTTGGCGAGGTATTACGGCAGCAACGATGCTCGGGACGAGCGAATCTAAGAGGGGGGCAGTGTGACAGAAAACTCTTTGACATCATGACGTCAATGGATGGTTGTCAAACGTTGCCTAGAGATTGTAAATTTCGTCGTGAATTGTCAACACGAGTTGGTGTAATCGGTAAGGCGTGTGGATTACACCACAGAGACCCCGAGTTCGAGTCTCGCCGTAAACATGAAGTTTTTTAGTTGATAGAAGTTTTGTCGAACTTTCTGGAATATTTGAGTGAAAGTAATGAAAAATTAAGGAGCGAGAAGGAGAATAAATAAAAATGAATAACGAAATTATTGGAAGGTTCTGGAGGCATGACGATCAAAAAGAATAACGAAATTGAATGTTCTAGAACCTGACCGGGGGTATATAAGCGGAACTGCGGCCCACCGCTGGCAGTTGAGTTCTAAGTCCAAAGCGATTCGGAAGAAAAGGAAGAAGTGAAAAGAAGAAAAGTGAGTGAAATAGTGAAGTACAGTGAAATAGTGAAGTGCAGTCAGTTAAGTGAGTTAAGTCAGCGTGAACAGTGAACGGCAAAGTTGTGTCAGTCGGCCGGACTCTGCTGGAGAGGAACGCCAATAACTTATCCGTATCCGTGGACGCTGTCACTTAAGTGCAATAGAAAGTCTGAAAACCGGTATTAGTGTTTAATTTCATCCAATCCCGTAACCCAAGCCCGCATAGTTAGGAACGTGACGTCAGGCACGTAACAATATGTTTCTGATTTACATAACAATGTAAGTACAACAAAAGGCTAAAACTTAGCTAAATACAGAAATAGCACCATAATTAACTCACTTGTGGTATTTTGAACAGACGCAGAAGATTAGCAACCTGTACGGAAGTAACGCTGGAGGCCGCACCAACTACGCCAGATATCACCTTCCGGACAGCTGTCGCATTGCACGCGTACTCCGCATCGTCTATGTTGCTTATTGAACCTTAAAGAACAACACAAAATATTAATTTCCGTAAATTGGATTTTATTGCATTTTAATTCAAGAACTGTTATAGGTACACACCTTTTATAAAATCCACAGCCATTTCAAGCCCGTAAGTATCCTTATCACAATCATCTAAGATATGAGCTCCAACAGTCACGCCAGGTATCAGTCTCAAATCATTATTAATAATATCCAAAGTATACAACATCGTCTCCAACGCCTGCACGCCTCCTTGAGGCATCACCGGCCCACATGTCATGTTGTCTGACCTCTCATGGACCATCATTAACCCTCCCAGCACCAAATCTCCTTCAATCACCGCTTCCCTCTTTATAGGCCAATGCTGATGTTTCTTGTCCTTTATCTCTCCAACTTGGTCGTTGGACATGTTCACCCAATCACTTTTCGCTTCTTGTTTGGGAGTAATTTCATAATCCACTAAGTGCATCCCATCCTTTAAATTGAATATTGGATAGAACTCCTCAGGCTTATCAGCAAAGAAGGTTGGATCAAACATTTGGCCAGGTTTATGTTTGTGCCTGTGGTGATGCCTGTTTCTCTTGTGGAAGACGGAGTCCTCAATATTCAAGGTGTCGACCGAATGCCTCATTTCTGTGTAGTGGAACGTGGTGATGAGTAGACAGATCGCCAACCACCGCTGACCGGGACGCATGTTAGAGATGGATCTATCATACCATTACGGCTGAATATCTGATCCATGTTGAACGGTGTGCATTCATTTTAATCTGTAACAATGGAAAGGTTTTCATTAATTTTGTGGTTTGAAATGAATACTTGCTGAATTCGACAAATGTCGAGGTAACGTAAGCCCTTGGGAAAGTTAATCAAAATGTTGCCTCTCCATCTATCATTCTAGACACAATAAGCCAACCGAATACAATTCTTGTGTGTATTTGTCAACTCTTCGTAAGCTAATGTGGTTTGACGAAGTAATATTAAGGGGCCCGTGTTGTGTCGACCCACATCAACAAACCAAAATTATTTACTATGACACCTTTGTACCAGGTTACACCCAATAGCATCGGAAACAGGATATAGTTGAGGACGTTATTTGTTGCCTCGCCAAGCCCAGATGCTTAATATCAAAGGAAAATTGGTGAGGTTAAACATGTGGCGATGGCAGTGCTTAATTGATTTTGGTTTTAATTTGAGCCCAGTACACTGCTTGCTCAACATCAAAGAAACTTGCATTAACATTTCGAAATAAAGAAGAATAAAAATGCCATAGCATGAATAATAAAAACCCAGCCAAGTATATAATCCTCCCATTTAAAGCAATGTGGAAGAAACCCGGAAGAAAGTCCATTACGTGAAACCGAAAATTTTATACAAAATTTGTAGGAGAGCCTCGAAATTTCAGGACTTTTTAAAAGTTTGGGAACATCGTGTAAGATAGCTTGGGTATCGTTAAATTTAAAACGAAACCAAATTGTTTAATAGAAGGATGCCTTTTGAAGTCCCACTTCTGTTTACGATTGTAAATCAGATTTAGATGTCTGATTATTTTGGATTCAGATTTTAGCTAATTACTCGCTCATTCAGAAATTAACGAAGAGAAATAAAAGGAATTTATGAAGACAGTTTTCGGAGTTTCTCGTGATATTTCTTGGGTTGTCTTATAAATATATCTTTGTTTAAGGATAATAAACGTCCAAAACAGTTTATTTACTCTCACTATAGATAATCCGGGCAGCAATGTTATCCATCTAATACAATTTAATTTTTGGAACTCGATAATGATAGTAGTATTAAAGGCCATTTTGGCTTCTGAAATTGCAGCTTTCAATATAATTCAATGTTTCGGCCAAAATTTCTGTTAACGTGCTAGTTTTATTGCCTTTGCCACAAAACGAAGATTTATGATGGATTTTTGAATCACTTGAGAACTTATAAACTTTAAATTTTAAGTTGACCGACTTTTATACAAGAATCTTTCTTAAATTTTATTGAGTTTTGTAAAAGTTGTGGATCAATTTGTCTCTATTATTGTTTTGGTTCAATATTGGCTCAATATTGTATTGTTTTGTTGGGTATCTGCCGAGGTTTTGGGTCCGAAAATCAACACTATCATTATGTAATTTGAAAGAAAGCCAAGCTGAGTTAATCATATTTTAATACACCTTAACTTTGCTTTCGCTCTTTTGTGATTTTATACGGAACATTTCCTTGGAAGACTATAACTATGATGATTCGGAATTGTCGGATTGTTCTCTAGATGGCATTAACACAAAATAGAGCGCGCTATGCTCTCATTATTTTAACTTAGCTTCGGCGCCAAATTGATGTTCCGTATTTTAACCAGGGAAAAAGAAGAAGCAGTTAAAGAGGTGTTTATGTGATGCCATTTTCTGAAAGCGATCTCTTGGTTTTTTCAGAAGTAATAGCGCTATAAGCACAACAGCAGATTGTAAACCATGATATGCATGATATTCTATAAATCCATGCAAGCAATTTTCATTATTCACATATATTGTGTCCGTTCCCTGAGATATGGTAGCTCCTCGTAAATCTGGCTGTTCTACCAACAATAATGTTTGACTTTATACTTGTAACTATAGGAAAGGAAGACGCACGCATTGCCGGCCGCTTATATTAAACTCAAGTAGTGTTCACATGACCTACTTGCATAATATGAAGAATGAAAACGGTTCCAAAGAAAATGAATGGGAAAATTCTGAATATACTCAAATCTTTGTAAGAGCAACTACTGGTAAAGTAGAAGTAAGTGATTGTGATTTTTCTTTTTTTACATTTGAGGTAATACGGGCGTGATACAACAGATCATTATTTATTTATACACTTTATACAAAATAATGTACAGGCGGACTTAATGCCACAGGCATTGTCGAACAGTCGACCTTCAGGTGGTGGAGAGATGAGAGTGGCAGGTGACAAAAGTATATATATAACAAAAGTTTATGACTATATGATTATCATTGTTGGAAAGTTTTCCTATTAGCAAAGTATTTTATGGTGACAATAAGAACATTAAAAAGAACGGGATAACAAACAGAATGTTTGTACATAAAAGTAGTTTAAAGCAAATTTAAATTCGATAGCTCAATACCCAACGACGCGTGCTGTCGATTACACAAAATGTTTAGGAAGTGTTCATAAAAATTGCGATTTCGAAAGTGATTTACGACGACCCAAGCCGACCCGAGCGGAGGCGTCACGAAGATACGTCCCTAGTTTCATATAATGTTTAATATAATGTATTCATCCCACACCCTCGTAGTTTAGCTGTAGCCCAGAACCAAATAAAATAACCAAGTCAACGTTAACGTTGGTATCAACGAAAAACTCTTTTTTAAGCTTTGGCTGCTGTTCAGCCAGCTGATCCTATTTGCTTATTTGTAAGGTTTCAGATTGAAGATTATCGTAATTTTCTAAATCGTCTAAGTTGGGTCACCAAATTATCTCCTTATAGCCTATTTCTATACAAAAAATGAGTATTATGAGATGATAATAAATTTGTCTGTGTGTCACGCTTAAATAAGAACTGAGTCGACGTTTTCTTTGTCAACATTTTCCGAGATACATATACACATATTAATTTTAAAACTTTTCTCAGATAACTCCTTGGGTTCTGTTAGTGTGAGCATGTTCAGCGTATAACCTTAAAAGCGTATGTAAGAGGGTAACTTTGTTTAAGTATTTCCGCCATACTGTGGTCTAAGGGAACGTATGGTTGTGTATGTCGGTGTTGTTAGGAGTAATGTTCCTTAGATGTGTTGAATTTAATGGGTCCCGTAATGGGTTGGAACGTTCCAGAACTTTTCTAAAGATTTTTTGTTCTTTTCTTTGTGGAAAGAAAATAGAATGGAGAAAAACCGTGACATAAATGCTAAGTGGTTATTTTAAATTGTGTAGTATTTTACAAAGTGTCATTTTGAAGTGTTTTTGTTTATAAAAGTGCTTTAATGCTTCTGGATTGGAGGCAGATTGCTTTTATCCAGTTGGTTTAGAAGGTATTCAGAGATAAATTCAGCAGGAGATATCTTAGAGCTTATATGGTGATAGTGAGTACTCACCACTTTAGAATAACACGCAATAAACGTCAAAAACTATGAACGAAATCATTACAACTCACCAGTCACGGAGGCCCAATCCTTCCCTGCCCCCAATCCCTCCTCAAGCCCTAAATCTCCAAATCCCTAATCCCTAAAAGGTCGAAAACGCACTCGTAAATCCTCCGTTGTGGGTGTCCATGGGCGGCGCTGATTGCTTACCATCAGGTAATCCGTCTGCTCGTTTGCCGACCAATTACATAAAAAAAATATTAAAAAAAGTCATTAATATAAAATAATCATATCAAAATTGTGCCTTCGTTGACGGTTCAGGAAATGATCACTAACATGTAACTGGGTACAACCAATTTCATTAATGTAGGTCACATGTGGGTCACATGCAACGCATTCATCATTTACCTGAGTACGTCCACTCCATCATAACCCACTCAATTTGCTCTTCACGTGAATGGGAACGTATTATTAACCCAAGAACCTTTGCATGTTAACTTGTAACGCTAATTTTTCCTTCTTATTATTGCTTCAGTAATAAATTTAAGATTTCATGTTGTTAATTGGTTTATGTTGAGGTTTTATTAAGAAAAATTGAGTTGTGGTTAAATTTTAATAATACATTACCTATATACCTACTGCAGTCTATGCGCCATTTGTTCTTTTATGTATAAAGCCTGCAAACATCGACTATACGGTTAGCGCGGGGGCCGGGCAACTAGCAGCCGGGCAAATTGCCCGGGTTCTAGTCCCGCTCCTAACAACTCTTTGTGCGATCCACAAATTGTTGGTCCAGTACTGGGTGTGATGTGTATGTGAAAAATTACACGTTTGGACATGGGAGGAGTGATCGCTAAAAACCAACAAGGAAACAAATGAAGAGCCTTTATCAATATTGACTTATCCATCGTTACATAATTTTTTGAATAATACATATATATTTGCTACATATACTAATCACTACTCGACGCCGGTGGGAAATGCTTTTTTCTTCGAATACAAATAACAATAAAAAAGTATAACAAACATTGCAAATAAAACATTTATCTTTGTAACATTCAGGGCTGATTTTTCAATATTCAGATAAATAAATATTATCTGAGTAACAACATGGTTGCTGTCACTGTCTTATATAAATATTCTGTATCTAATCAAATAAAATGAATCATCAAGTCAATGGAACGTAAATTCGAATGTAATGAATAGTTTAACCCTAACGGCAGGGACCCAAATTAAGTTTTTAACCGTATCTTTGTCCTTTATTGCCAAGCTCTAATGTTTTAGAAGTACCAACAAATGCCAGTTTTCATTAACAAACAACCCTATAGTTCTGAATTCTTGTCAAAAATGATTCTTTATTCTCTTATTTGCTATCTAATTTGTATTTTGTCTGTTGGCTGTTATAACAAAATCCCAGTCGAAATTCAAAATCTAAATGAAAGCAAATTTAAATTATGTGTTAAGAAAAATTTATGTAGACTAGCATACTACAAACTAAATGATTATATACAAGATAAAAATGCCTGTAGACTAGCTGGTCCTACTCCTCAGGATGTTAGGAGGAGTTTTTGATTTCAATCATTAAATTGTAAACCATGTTGTTAATTTTTGATAGACTTAAAAGTTTTTG